AAAAATGTAGCTTACACTTACAGTAGAGAGAATGCACATAAAGGATTGGGCATGGTTGCGATTGATTGAGTCACCGATGAATGCCCAAGTTTTATTCCTCATCAGTTGAAGAAATTTCTTGGGATGGAGTCGGGGCAAGTCACAAGCGTGGGGCTTCCACCTCCAATGAAGATAATCTCTGTCCGGACGCCCGTTTTTCATACAATCCTGGTGGCCTCCAATGAAGCTGCAGCTGTTATTTGTGTATAAGAGTTGGCCCTCGTAAGGAACCCAATCGCCAACAAAAAGATTGCATTTTCCTTCACTGTCAAACAACTCTGTGTGAAAAACATTTTTGAAGGGACTCAACACAATTGTCATGGATTCGAGGAGTGAACTAATTAAACATTTAACTGGTAACTTTTTGCTTGTTCGATCGTTCTCTTCCTTTGTTTTGATTGTTGTTGGGATTAATGGATTCTGCACCATATGTATTATCCACAACTTATTCTTTGCCAAGGAAGAGAACGAGCTATTTTAATAAAAACCATTTGCCGATTTCTAAAGTTTTTGTTGTAAATTATGTATATATGTATTTTGAATGGAGTAATTGGGAAATATAATGTTTAATTATGAAAATCTATTTTTGATGTATCACGAAAAAATTGATGATACATTTATTAAAACATGAATGTTATTTAATTGTTAACTCTACTAATTAAAATTAAAAATCTATTTATGTATGCTTGATTTTCGTGATACCTGTTGATGTTCATGGATGTATTTTTAATCCTGAAAATAAGAAATCAATAAAACTGGTATATGCATTTTTATCATTGTAAATATAATATACATCATATATTTGTAATAATCTATCCAACATATCCGATTTTTTTCTTTTTTAACCAAGCAATTTTTTGTGCTCCCACCCACACACTAATATTNTAAAAAAAAAAAAAGAAATTGATTTTCAGTTTCTAGGAGACCGAACGTACTCAAGTTTTGCTACATAAGCACTCCCATAATGATATTGGCAAAAGCTTCCAACATCACAGGTCATTCACTACATTTTTAACACAATAACATCAAAAAGAGAAAGAGGAAAGCAAAAAGGAAGTAAAAAATCTTACCTTGAGTCGTATTCTGATCTGTAACCTCTTGAGAAGTGACGGAAATAACAGGGGATGGTGAAACATGAGTTTTGCCAAGAATAGAAGTGCTTGAAAGTAGAGAAATATCAAACGGGCTGTTACTGTAAATAAGCCTAAACGCAAGGCCCACTGCAAGAATTACGGCGCCCAAAATGAGGACCGAATACTTGTTCTTTTGAGGAGACCTCAACCAAGATTTCCAATCGCAAACAATTTTCTCCACCATTTTGTTTTGTTTTTGTTTTGTTTTTCTTCAGATAATCGGCTTTTATTGTCTCCCACACTCAAAACGAAATCCAGGTTTTTCAAAGAATCGGATTTTGTTCTCCCGCTATCTGCTCCATTGATTTAGTGATGGTGTAGACTGTGAACAGTACATGTTAATAACACACGCAAAGTAGAATTTGTAAGGTATTATAACATTTGCTTTTCTCCGTTTTGAAATAGACCATGGACTAGAGGTGCCCATAATTCTTATATTCATTTTCCATCATGAGGTAAGGATACCGCTGACCTCTGCAAATGTCTTTTGTGCTTACGATTGGGTTTCTAATATATGGAAAGAGCTATGGGTAGACATAGGCCAAATTCCGGGTCGGATTAAAAATAACCGACCTTGAACCGGCCCGTACCTACCTAAGTACGGGCCGTGTACACGACCCAGCAGCCCGGTGTAAGAAAAAATTGGTTTTGTACCGATTTAATGATTCTACTTTTCGTAAGTAGAAGACTTAAGAAATTCTCAAAACCTATTTAAGGTGAATGAGAAATTAATTCTAAGTCTTATATGTTAATTAATTGAGTAGGTTGTAGGGTTCACAAACATTCTGTTTTCACAAATGTTTGGACGAACTAAACGAGCCATAATTATGCATTATGTACGCTAGAATTGTAGAAGGCCTCGTTGGGGACAAGTAGGAAAAAACGGAACTCGATTCCGAGTCCGTATGAGCTCGTACGAGCCCACGGCGCACGGGCGCGCAACTGGCTGCGGAAATCAAAGGGTCGCAACCCTTGGTGACCATAAGGTATCTCTTGGCCACTAGATGCATCCGTTCTCGTTCGAGCACGTCCCAAAAGGTGTCTTTTGATACTTAAACCTCTTGGAGGTGTTTCCCTACATCTATAAATACCCACATACTTGAAATCATTCAGAAGGTGAAAAGTGAAGAGCTCTTGCATTATATTTTCAAAGTTCATAAAGCATATTGTATTCTTTGATTTTTTTCGTTGAGTCTTGAGAGTTCCAAACAATAGTAGTGTTCGCCGAAGACTTGTATATTTGAAGTACCACTATATACAAATCGAAAGTCGTTGTATCTTGGAAGCGTTTGCCGTCAACCATGGGTATTTTACAGGGCAATTTCGTCTTAAGGAGAACGTAACTATTACGTGCCCCGACTTTGATTTTGTTTCGTTTTCTTCATTCTCCTTAAGCCGTCTTTTTTATATTCACAAACAACAAATAAACTACAACCTTAAGACGAAACTTTGTGAGTTCATAAGATGGGAATCGGAGGAAACCAAACGTCTTCTTCAAGTGATCAACCGACCGCTGCACCGGTTACTAATCCATTTACTCCGATGGTAGCCGTTCCCGTCCAAGGCTAGAGACCACTGAAGTTCAATGGTTTTGATTTCAAGAGGTGACAACAAAGGATGTTTTAAAGGAAAAATTGAAAGATGCCATAAATAAACCGAGAAGAACAAACAAGCATAAATGCATTCAAACTTCTTTTCATTTTTATAAGATAAGTCACTATCACATTGATATTTTCACAGATCCATTTTTGTGATGAGAGATGGTGATATTCTCGTACTTCAGCTGCTCATCCCTATGAGGGAATATATATATCCAATGGCTAAGCCCTACATTCTACAAGATAAGATTGCATCTCCACCATACATTTTGCATTAGGGTTTTGAAGGGTTTTAATTGTTTTTGTCTTCTCTTGATGCTTGAGTGGCTTTTGTCTTATTGCATGGCCATGATCCACGTCAGCTTTAATGTGGCTGAGTGGGATTGCACTCTTAACACCCCCTTTCAATTCTATGCATGATCTTGAAGCTAACCTCAGCTTGTTCTTAATCCATGCATAAAATTGTCCTGAAATGGCTTTGGTGAACACATCAGCCACTTGCTCTGTAGCTGGAAGATGTTGGACAGCAATGATCTTGTTTTCCACCTTCTCCCTTATAAAATGAAGGTCAAGCTCAAAGTGTTTTGTTCTTGAGTGATTGACCGGGTTACCAGCAAGGCAAACTGCTCCTCTATTATCTACCCATATAATGCTAGGCTTCTTATGTTTGATCTTCAGCTCATCAAATAAAGATTGCATCCACAACACTTCACATGATGTTTGAGCAACACTTCTATACTCTGCCTCTGTTGAGGACCTTGAGACAATGGCCTGCTTCTTTGCACTCCATGACACCAGGTTAGTCCCCATATACACACACATTCCACTTGTGGATTTTCTATCATCCACATCTGAACCCCAGTCAGCATCTGAGAAAGCCTTGATATTGAAATCAGGAGACTTGTCTATCTTCAGTCCAAAGTCCAATGTCCCTGCTAGGTATCTCAAGATCCTTTTAACTGCTTTCCAATGTTTATCCAAAGGATTATGCATGAATTGGCAGACCTTGTTAACACTAAAGGTTATATCTGGTCTAGAGAGGGTAAGGTATTGAAGAGCTCCTACTATTTGTCTGTAGAGCTGGCCATTATGGAAAGGCTGACCATCAAATTTAGATAGGGGTGGATGACTCACCATGGGTGTGCTAATAGCCTTGGCCCCCTTCATTCCAGCCCTGTCTAAAATTTCCTGAATGTAAGAAGATTGTGAAAGAAGAAGACCAGTGGAAGTGTGAGAGACTTGAACTCCCAGAAAGAAATGTAAAGGTCCAAGATCTTTTAGAGAAAAGAAGGAGGATAGTTGCTGAATGGTGGAGTGAATAAGAGAGGTGTCACTGGCAGTTATGAGAATGTCATCAACATAGGCCAAAATAAAGATAGAAGAATGGAAGTTATGTTTGTAGTAAAGAGAAGTATCTGCTTTTGAGGTTGAAAAACCAAGTGAAAGGAGTATGGAACTGAGTTTGGAGGACCATGATCTGGAGGCTTGCTTTAAGCCATAAAGAGACTTCTTAAGTTTGCAAACAAGAGTATGATTGCTGAAGACTTCAAAACCCTCAGGTTGTGTCATGTATATATCCCTGTCCAATTCACCATTGAGAAAGGCATTATCAACATCTATCTGATGAATGTGCCAACCAAGAGAAACAGCTAAAGTGAGGATGATTCTTATGGTGGTTGGTTTCACAACTGAGCTGAATGTCTCTGAGTAGTCAATTCCAGCATCTTGAGTGAATCCTTTGGCCACAAGCCTAGCTTTGTATCTAGAAACAGTACCATCAGGGTTGGTCTTGAGTTTGAAGACCCACTTTGATCCTATGACATGCTGGTGAGGTGGTAAGGTGACCAGCTCCCATGTGTTGTTTTTCATAAGTGCTTGATATTCTTCTTTCATGGCATTGTGCCAAGCAGGGTCTGAAAGGGCTTGGAGGGTTGAGGTGGGTTCTCTGGTTGAAAACACATCAGTGGCATAAACTTTTGGTTTTCTGATGCCAGATTTTGATCTAGTGATCATATGATGACCACCTGCAATGGAAGAGTTAGGAGCAGTAGAAGGCTCAATAGGTAAGTCAATGATAATTTGCCCAATTGGAATGGTAGAATGTGAAGATTCTGAGGTATGTGGAGAAGACCTGGATAATGAATCAGAAGATGGTGAACTGATAGTGTTAGAGGAATTATGGGAACTGTGACTAGGTGAGTGGGGAAGGTTATGAGAAGGAGATGAAGGTGGAGTGGAGGGTGGTGAAATGTTGTGTGAATCAATGATGTGATTGTCAGAAGGAGTACATGGATAAGAATAGTGAGGTAATACAGAAGTAGAAGTATCAATGGGATCTGGAGGAAGCTTGTTGTGAAGAGGAAAAACAGATTCATTAAAAATGATATGTCTGGTGATGATGATTTTGTGATTAGGTAAGAGAGCTTTGTATCCTTTGTGCTGTGGACTGTAGCCAAGGAAAACAGAAGGTAAGCTTTTTGGTTGAAGTTTATGATCATTATATGGCTTGAGAAATGGATAGCAAAGGCAGCCAAAACATTTGAGGAATGTGTAATCTGGAGTTTGATTGTGTAATAACTGATAAGGGGAGGCAAAATGCAGAACTTTAGAAGGAGTTCTATTGATGATATAAACTGAACTAGAAAAAGCCTCATCCCAATAGTTATAAGAGAGATTGGACTGAGAAAGAAGTGATAGTCCAACTTGAACTATGTGTCTATGTTTTCTTTCTGAAAGTCCATTTTGTTCTGGAGTATAAGGACAGGAGAGTCTATGAATGATTCCCATTTCAGAAAAAGTGGACTTAAGAGCCATGAATTCACCACCACCATCAGATTGAAAAGCTTTAATGGTTGAATTAAATTGATTCTTGACTAAGGCAGCAAAATGAAGAAATGCAGATTTGGTGTGAGATTTGTTCTTAAGAAGATAAAACCATACAAATCTTGTTTTGTGATCAATGAAGCTAACATAATATCTAAAACCTTTGTGAGATGTCACAGGGGCAGGACCCCAAAGGTCAGAATGAATGAGATCAAATGGAGCATAATTCTTATCATCAGAGGCATGAAAGGGCAATTTGTGAGATTTTGACTGTAAACACACATCACAAAGAACAGTTCCATTTTTATTTGCATGAAAGGAAATATGGCATTGTTTTAAAGCAGTTTGTACTACATCATAAGAAGCATGACCGAATCTCTTGTGCCACAAATCAAGATCAACAACATTATTTGAATTTCCCAAACTGCAGCTAGATGAAAAACAGAAACAAGTAGCTAAAGATGAGCAAGGTTGATAAACTTGTTCTGGAACAAACTTGAAGCAATAGAGACCATCTCTAAGAGTGCCTTGAAGAAGTGGAGCACCGGTCTTGATGTCCTTCACAAAACATAAAGTGGGATGAAATTCAAAGAAGACATCATTATCTTTGGCAAATTTTGAGACACTGAGAAGATTTTTTGTGATATGTGGGACATGCATGAGGTTATTAAGAACAAAAGGCTGAGATACAGCAGAATTTGGGCAATTTATCATAGTATTACCAATATGAGCTATGTCCATACCTGCTCCATTAGCTGTGTGAACCTTCTCAGTCCCATTGTATTC